CTAACTCCCGAATGGATGCAAGCTGGGAGTTTAGCACCCCAAATGGACCCTCAGGTGCAGCTTTCTGTGAGGATGACTCTGGACCGGCAACAGAAGTGGTGACTTTCCTTTTCTTGCTTTTTTACTGCACTCCCCTCCCCCGTTACTCTCAAAAGATGAAAGGGTTTGTCGGCTGGCAACCAACGATCGGTGCTACGCACCTTAACCTCTGCTCGCTTGTACAACTCTGTGATCAGTGAAGAGAACATCAACCCTGCGTCATCATCTAACAGATACTCTCTCAGCCCCCTCTGGATATAGTAACCAACATTCACAGGAATGGCGTCTAGAATACATGCAATGATCAGGGTTCTGGTGTAGGAGACATCTGAAACATTTCCACAAGGTGACACCTGGTTGCAGAGGATGTAGAGCCACAATTTTGCTTCAGTTGTAAAGTCAATTGACTTCAAACCCTTTCTCCTATTTTCCCATTTTGCTCTCATGCTTGCGGGGTAGAGTTTAGAGACAAGCCATTCGCCGTTGTCACAATGATCCTTTTCTCGCACCGACTCAAGTGGATAGTTAGGAATCCCGAGTGTGTCATTAATCTGCTTCATCCCAAACCTTACTATTTTTCCTCTTATGATGAGTTGTGGGTCGGCGAAGTTTGTGTGCTTAAGATTTGCGTAGAATTCGCGCACCCACTCCTCATTGGCTTTGCATGAAGTGAGAATGAAACATGACCATATGGAGGCTTGGAGATAGGCATAGAATTTTGGGATCCGCTTGGCCAATTTATCCTTGGCGATACCTTTTTCAAGCACTATCTTTTTGGTGACGAGGTTGTCATAATATTGGCGTTGACAATCAGCTGACATTAAGCGTGAGTTATCAAATGGTTCATCACCCTCCTCCTCATTTTCATGATGTTGCGGAGCATTTTCATTCATGTTTGGGTCTATTTTAGCTCAAAGTACCTTCACAAAATTAAAACAATGTAAGTCAGGCAATAGAATCATGTTAAGCAATTTGAAACACTGCAATTAGGTCAATGAATCAAGTTGAACGTGCCCGAGAAGCTCCAGTTGCAAAGCTACTGGAATTTGCAGAAGCTTCCCAGTTTTCGCACCTACGGAAATATCATCGCAGGTGCGGTACTACATCTGCGAAATTTTCTACGCTTCTGCAATTTTTCTCATCATGCCAAAAGTCGCACCTGCAGAACAGTCAACGCAGGTGCGAGGCCGCATCTGCAACACATTTATCGCTCCGATGATTTTCAGCCAAGGGTTCAAAAACCCAGAATTCTTTTACTCATTTTCATCTCTATCATGATTTTTAGCACCTAATTTGTACTCAAGACTTCTAAATTAGTGCACTACATGAATCTATGATTCTATTGAGACTGATTTTGTGGCACTTCGCAAGCAATTTTCTTTTAAACAATTTGTTGAACATCTTGCAAACAGTGATGAGCATATGCTTTTTGAATTGAGAATGGTACTCAAACTTCCCATCAATTTGATTCAGCAGTAGCATCACACACACATGCACTCTCAACCATTTTCCCTCACTTCCTAAAACTAACAGTGATTAAATCGAAAATAGAAACAAAAAATTAAGAATTGACATGTAGAATAAATGAGATAAAGAAGAAGAGAAAAAAAAGAAAAGAAACGAGAAGTAGAAGGGAGGAGTAGATGAGAGATTCCGGTGTTTCCTTAAGTGAAAGCAGTAGAAATCAAGAGCAATGGAGGATTTGAGTATGTGAGTGCTGGGGAATTTTGGGTTTTGGGAAAAAGCTTCCGAAAATACCTAATGAAATGAGGGCTCAGTTAATTAAAACTTGCCTGATTTCCGCACCTGCAATTTCTTTTAACGCTTTTGTGAAGCCGCTTATGCGGAAATTGAACCACATCTACGTAAAAGGCGCATCTGCGGCTGGGAAACTGCTTCTGCGGTAGCGCACCTGTGTCTATTTTCCACATGTGCGGTTATAACAGGTTCCAGTGGCCAATTCTGGGCAGCTACTGTTTCGTGCTCCAACATCCCAAACTCCTTAATTCAACTCCAAAAAATCTAAAACTTGGTAGATTAGTCAAAAATAATATTCTAAGCTATTATACAAAAGAAAATTTTAAAAATGACTAAACATTTTCAAAATGATGGGTTGCCTCCCACCAAGCGCTGTATTTAACATCGTGGCACGATGCATGTCACTTTACCACTTTTCTCGCCACTTGGACGATATGAACTGGGCACCTAACTTTGAATCAAGCTTGTGACCATGAGCGGTGGGGGTGGTAAGTAGATGATCAAGCCAAGCCTCAATTTCTTCATTTTGAATTTCTTGGCTTTCATGTGAGAAATGTCAGTTTGCCTTCTTGTTCCCTCAAATTATAAAATGTATGGCCTTTGTCTTTCCTCTTCGCAATCCCTCATTGACTCGTGTAGTTCAATTCCCATGTCACCACACAATTCCAATGTTGCAAAATACTTGAAATGTGACATCAAACCTCTAAATTTCAATTCTTCCCAGATTTTGACATCATCTTTTTCCTGCGAACTAGAGTTAATCTCAACCATATTTTCATTTACACCGGTTGACTCTAATTCCATATTTTTCTTGGCATCACTAACGCTTATGGAGTCGATTGGCGGATGTTCAATTCTTGATTCCTCAAAGTAAAGCTCACTTTCTTCCTCGGAGTCGGACTCTTCTTGACTTCTTTCCACACTCTCGAGTTGGTGGGCATAGTGAACCTCAACCAATATATTCATTTGACTTTTCAAAGTGCGGATATATTCATCATTTTAAGTCAAGCCTTGTTTCAAGTCCTCGAGTGCAAAGTTGTGCTACTCCTCATTTTCAAGAATGGCCTCCAACATGAGCATCATCTTCTCATTTTTAGCATTTGAAAGCTCTTCGTGGTTTTGATCAAGTGCCAAGGAAGGATTTTTGGCTTCAACCTCCAAGAAAGATTCTTGTCTATCATTAACTTCCAAGGCTTTTTGGACCTCTAAAGCTTCAAGCATTTCTTCCATTTGCAAGTTCAACCTTTCAAGTGCCAAGTCATTTTGGAGACTATTTTCCAAAAGCTCCTCCAAGGCACTTTGTTCTTTGTTTTCTCCTTCAATTAGGCATTCTAATATGAGCTTGAGCTCACCATTTTGACCATGCTCAACTTCTTCCACTTCCATAGCCCTATAATTTTTATCACAAAAAGTAAAATCATCATAGCGAGGGCTTGGGAAGGGAAGGACAAATAAGCACAATGCTCCCAATGACCATTTTGACGACCACACTTATCACAAATACTCCACTCATGGGTTTGATATGTGCGCACAATCCACCCCCATGGAGAATTTAAACAATTTTTCCACGAGTGTGGTCCTCCACAATAAGGACGTGGGTCATCAAATTATGAACAACTACCATCCGACCCATTTTTATTATATGATGTCATTTTTCAAAACTAAGAAAATAAACAAGAAACAAACAAAAAAATAGACCAAGGTAAGAAAAATAATTACACAAATATTCACAAGTTTAGACCAAAGCACCTACACTTATTTCTCAAACAACCTAAATTACTCCAAATTGTTCCCCGGCAACGACGCCAATTTTGATGACGTCCAAATTCACTACTAAAAAGTAAATGGACACGGTCGCATACAATATAATTTACCCAACTATGAGTCAGGGTCGAATTCCACATAGAACAATATGTAGACGATTAGGAATGTAAGAGAATTATCACTTGTTATGCAATGTGATACGCTCAAATTACACTTTAATTAAGTAGTGTAAGGCAGTCGGTGTCAAATATAATAACCCAACAAGGTTGGGGTCGAATCCCACGGGGAATATGGTGTGAAAAGCTTATTTTAGTAGTGTGGAATTTGACTTAAGTCATAATTCTATTCCGTTAACGTAACAAGAGAATGATATAATTGTGAATTTAAAATATAACTAATTGTAATGTTGAGAATGTAAATGATTTGATTAAGGAAACCAAGGTTGTGTCCCCGTCAATGGAATGTAATGCTATCGGTGTTAATATGGTTTATTTCTAATGGAAGGTCCTTTGATATGCAAATAATTTCTAAATAACTACCCAATATTTTCCAATAGTTGAGTAGTATTTTCCCTTTATGATTTTTCCAAATATAAAGAGTTGCAATTTAAGAACAATCAATTTATGTCAAGTAGAACCATCTTATTCCTAAGCGATTCTATTAAACAAGATTTAAAGTCTTGAGTTCTTGATATTCAATTCTACCAAACCCTAACTCACTTTTCCAAGAAAAGAAAGAGTAAAATGGAATAAATTAATGTTTGCAACCACCAACCATTAATAAAGAACACGAATTGAATAAATATTAACCAACCATTATATATATATTAAATGTTAAACATCCATTAACATTACACCCATCTAAGGTCCACAACCTTAGTATTTAAAACTAGCTACCTTATACTAAAATACAGGAATAAATTATTTAATAAAACCATAAAGCTTACAAAAGTGCAAGATTCCTTCTTCACAAACCTCCAAATAAATGAACTATTCAATGCTCTCTAAGTAGGACCTTGTTTCAGACTTGAATGCCCCAAAAGTCGTAGTCAAAATCAGACAAAAATACCCCTTCAGATGACTTATGCCATCACATACTGGTCGCAGACCAGTTATGCGGACCGCATATTGAACATTCCATCGCATCCTTGCTGAGTTCCAGAACTGGCTTCCATCGCATAACAGTTATGCGGTTCGCTTGCATGTTATGTGATCGCATATCTCGCCGCATATCATGCTGAGGTCTGTCTTCTTCTGGAGTTATGCGACCATTACGCGACTTGCATAGGTGTTATGCGATCGCATAATAGACCGAATATTTGCTTCTTCAGTTGGCCCAAAAGATTGTCTCTGTTTGCGATCAGCAGGGCAATTATGCGGTTCGAATGTGAGTTATGCGACTGCATAATTGCAGCATATCTGTCTTTTTATGACTTTTTGACTTCTTTTCTATGTTTTCGGGTATTCATGCTCATGCACTACAAAACAACCAAACTTGATCAGAATTAACCACAAACGCATTAAAATACAAGTTAAAATCTCAGTAATTGGTATCAATTGTGTTGAAATTCTTCAGCACATCAACACCCCCAACTTAAACTCTTGCTTGTCCTCAAGAAACTAAAACAAAACTATCATATTCTATACTACTTTTATTTCCGACATTCCACAAAACAGTAGTGACTATTGATGGTTTTTACTGACAGCTAACAAGCATGTGAACACATTTATTTACCCTTTCTGAAAAACAACTTATTATTCAATCATTCGACTAATCAATTTGTGACGTTAGAGCCTCGACCAAAATGAAAAAATGCTATCCATAGTGAAGTGCACTTGTGTTCTACTTTAAGAACCTATCTTTTGCTAAGTCTTACAATTCATGCGCACTAGCAACAAAGAAAATCACCACTCACATATATATACAGGGGCTGCAATCGAAACACTCTAACACTCGGAACGAATGCTACATGCTACAAGTATCAGTCCATATGCCTGCCCTTATTTTAACTTTGTCGCTGTCTCACGAATGATTGATCGTAGATCACTAAAGACTTTTCACGGGTTAAAATGCAGGCTTCGGGATAGGTTGGAAGACTATTTACAAATGTAGTGGTTATTCCCTCCTTGAATTCTACATGTATTATGCTCTTTTACTACATAGCCTTTATTTACCTCGGGTTACCAACCTAGAACTGCCTCAAAGTATTTCTTCAAGACTCCACTCTTTTTCTCTTTTTTTTTCTTTTCTCCTTTTTATTTTTATTTTTGGAGCTTGCATTCAGTTATATACACAATTTTGAGGTTATTGCTTCTTCTTCTTTTTTATTATACACCCAGTAGCAAACCATGCCAATTTCCAGTTTATAACGGCACCCCCAACTTAGTCTTTAAGCCTCAATCTCACACGTTCAAGGAGGGATGGTTTCAAAAGAAGGAATTACTTCACAAAAAGGGTAAAGGTTTGTAATGTGGTAGCCAATGAAAGGTTAAAGGCTCAAAGGGAGTAAGTAGGGTAATTAATGTACCGGGGAGGTCAATTTAGGCAAAACTGACTAGTAATCACAAGGAGAGCCTAAGATCATTTCAACATCCAATCATTAACCTGAGAGTTGCACTAAGAAACCAACCGGATAAGTTCTAGACATCACAAGTTAGACATGTGTGTCACACCCCTTTTTTCACAACTCACTAATCCTCTTAAAAATAATAAAAGGATTTTGTGAAGATTAGAAGGGTTTTTAATTAAAAAGTGACAAATTGTGTTCAAACGGAAATAACTCAAAGTCGCCACCTGACATTGGTTTCCGTGTGCCAGGTCACCGTTTTTATAAAAATGATTTTTCCTTTTTAAACACTTTGGACTCCATAACTAAGTCTGCACCAGAGATTCGGGTAAGAAGGTTCATTTGACTCAGGGAGAAGGTGTTAGGCATTCCCGAAGTCCCGTAACTAGTATGGTTGTGTACTCAATCAAGTTGGCTTTTAAGATATTCAAATTGAGGTAAAAACACATAAAAAGAAAATAAACAATCAAAAGAGGCTCGAGGTCATCCCCACCTAATAAAATAAAATAAAAATAAATATAAAACAAGAATAAAAGTACTACAAGTTCTACTTTCGACCTCTAAATACAAATACTTTGGGACATTCCCCGGAATAAAATATATATAAATCTTTCGGGGCATTCTCCGGATAAATTTAACTAAGGGAACGACCTCTTGCCTCAGTACTAATAAAATCCTAAAGCTTGTCTACCCAAGTGTGGTCGGCCTAAGTCATGCTCCTAGCGTTGAATGAAAGAGCTAACAATAACTAATTAGAAGTATTAAAACAAGTCACATTAAACACAATTCTATTTTTTCAATTCCACTGCCCCTTTAATTCAATTCAACTTATTAATTCAACTTTCTTCCTTCAATTGATTCATAAGATGTCAAAGTCAATCACAATGAGAAAGTAGATTCCAAATATTAAACGTCACATTTTTTATAATAAAATAGATACTAACTTCAAATCACTTCAAAGAGAACATTATCAAAAGCATATCAACAAACAATCTCAATGATAAAATCAAAGGATTTAAGAGAAAATAGAAGGGATTGGACCTCGATGGATATTGTTAACCACAAAACCGAGTCAGATAGATGAATTTGGACCGGATCCTCGTACGACACTCTGAGCGGACCTCGAATCGACACCGAAAAGTTCGAAACCCAAATCGAAGCTACTATTCACTCGATTTTTAGACTGAAATTCGCCCTCCCTCTTACTCTCGTCCTCTCACTGTTGTTGTCCACTACCTGAAACAGCCGCAATCTTACCAAAATCCAATTTTGATGATTTTTGTTTAGTCTATGAAGGATCAACTCAAATGCTTCTATCCACATCAATATGGGTGAAACAATTCTGCCATTTACTAATAGGTCACGATAAACACACCTTCAGTTTTGTAATGGAATAATTCAAAATCGAAATTAATTAATTTTGCAGCCATAATATTCTGATTGGAATCACGCACAGTAGCCTCCAATGACTTTTAGTCCGTCCTTTCCCATGAAAGTATGTGCGTTTGTCTCTATAATTTGAGGGTGTTGAATTTTGAGATTTCCATTAGTCTTCACATGAATAACATGAGAGAGAGATGCTGGATTTGAGAATTTGAGAATGGGAAAATGGAAAGTGGACGGTGGTTGTGGTGAGCCTTGCTCTCACCGGAAAAGGACGTTCCGGCAGGTGAGCGGAGAAGGAAGGAGTTAGGCTAGTGCTCCTGATCTCTTTTAAAGTATAGGGATCTAGGTATTTTTTTATTGTGTGGCTATAGGGTGTTGATGGGTTAAGGTTAATTTTGGGCTTTGACAGACTTGGGCCTTCTCTAAGATAAAATTGTGGTTAGATATGGGCCAGAACTCTTTTGAATTAGTTCAAAATTGGGCTCCCAAAAATCTAGATTTCATTAACTAAGGGCCTAAGTTTTCCTTATTTAATATAGTATAAAGCATTTGTAAAAATGTAAGAGTACTCCTAATTAATTAAAATAAACTATTAAAAATAAACCTAAAATAAACTCTTTTTTTGTATTTTTCCAAGATTAAAATGACTCCAAAACCTTAATGAAACTATTTTTTATAATTTTCAATTTTTGTGATAAAACAAAGTAAAAGGGTTAAAACAAATTAAAATAGCGATGTTAGGCCTAAGCTAAACATTTACATGCTAAAATATAAAAAATCTTGGAGATGGTCAAAAATCACATGTCTACAATGTGCATTATTCATACAAATCCTCACTCACTCACAACACATGAATTGTTCAACTCAACATAGTTTTAGTCCTCAAGTGACAAAAAGAAACTCAACACTTTCTTCTCAATATATGTAAGATTCTAAATGAGCATAAAGTCAAAGAGCGAACCTCAAATTCACAAGAATGACTGACTAACACACTTTTTTTGTTTTTTTATATTCAAAAGAAGGAAGGGTATCATATATTTATAACACTTGGCACATGCTTGGAGCTACACAGTCAACATCAACTAAGTCAAAACATTTCATGCTACCGCCGTGGTTCTACTATTACACCTTTGGAAAAGAACTCGGCGAAGAAAAACCAAAGGGAATTCATTGCTAAACTACAAGAGTTTTATATACAAACATGGGTGCAAGAGTTTTATATACAAACATAGGGTACACCAAAATATTTCTACAAAACATGGGTACAAGATTATGATTATAACTACCCCACCCCAACCAAAATCATGCATTGTCCCCAATGCATATATAAAGCAAAAAAGAAAGCTCAGGGACTCCCTGGGGCGCACCAGGCACTTAGGGGAGTTGAAGGATCTGGGACATCTGCGGGGTCAGCTGCTGGTAGTGAAACTGCAGCTGGTGGGACCTAGGACTGAGTAGTAACCATCATGACTAGAGCAAGAGGCTCCGGCTACTGTGGAGGTATAGCAGGAAGCTCCACCTGCTGTGATGCTGGAGCTAGTGCATAGGAGCTGCTAGCCTCGCCCTGTGATGGCTGAGTGGTCGATGGATGTTCCTTGGCGACCATATCTGCTAGAGAATGTTCAATAGCTGTCTGCACAGCTGCTTGTTCTTCATTTTCTGCCCTTGTAGAGACAACAACCCATTTACCTTTGTCTTACTGACCTTCAGTGTCCTTACCTAGTGCCTCTTCATCCATCTCCTCATCTCCTGACTCCCCCTCATCGGACTCCTCAGTATCTACAGATTCCTCATCGGAAGGGATATCAATATGAGCAGGAGGAGTTTGAGCTCTGGTGGTCTCAACATGTTGTGCCTCTGGGGTTGTCATCAATGTAGTGAAATCAATATCTAAGCCTGGGACGGAAGTGTCAGCACCCTGCTCTTCATCCTTTGGAAGGACGGCTGTCAAATCAAACTCTAAACTCTGCATCTTCTTCAGCTTAGCCTTGAGGTCACTCATATCTTTCTGGAGCTGTGGAATACCTCCAACTTCACCCCTCTCAACCTTCTCAAGACGCGCTTCAATGCTCTTGAGTCAATCCTCATAAGTATGATGTTGCTGCTGAAGAACAATCACATAGGATTGGATAGCGGACAATGCCTGTCGGATGAGGTTGGGAATTTCCTTGATAAGCCGGTCTACCTTAGCATTAGCATGCTGAGCAACTAGACCCATCTTGGACAAAGCTGTCAGTGGAACCTGAGATTGTGCAATAGATGACTGTGGAGTAGTTGTGGAGGTAGCTAGGGCCTGAGAGGTGGCTAGCAGTGCTGGACCCTCTAATACTACTGTATAATTGATGTGAGGAGGAATGGGAGTCTTAGGCTGAGTTGCAGTTTCCTTTGCTACTGTGTCACTGATTCTCATGATGTTAATGTATTTGGTAGCATTCTCTATTTTTTCGTGCCTAGGCAGGAGAGGCACCTTTGCAGCTCGGCAAAGAGTAGTGATCAGGTAGGAGAACAGAAGTGATGTATGTTTTTGATTGGCTCTGATTCCTATCTCTTGGAATATTATCTCCCTCACATCAATCTTAATCCTCATCATGATGCACGCAATGAGAAATTCTTTCTCAATATTTATGTTGGTTTCATTTCTGGACGACATCAGACGGGATGTAATAAAGCTGAGCCAGTAGCGACCCTCCCTTGTGAGATCCTCCTTGAAAATTTTGTGTTGTGGGTCAATCAAGGTTGGTGTCCCCTTTTCTATTACCGAGGCAATTCAGCCATGCTCATTGTGCTTATTGGTTACCTTGGCATCATATTCAGCTGTTCCTGACCACCAATCCTTGAACTACTGTTCATTAATCATCTCAAGACCACAACCCACTTCAACCCCTCGCACTCGGACATACTTGGAAAAGATCTTGTTGCGCTTCTGTAAAGTAGTCCTCGAGGCACCGTATGAAGCATAAAACTCCCTCATAATTGTCTCGTTGTATTTATCCAGGACCTCAGTGAAGAACTCCCACTTCCTCAGTTTGATGTTTTCAAGGATGTGAGGGTAATTATCTGATAGCCCATTCAAGATCAATTGCTTTTCCTCTAGAATGTTCCTTTTTGAAAGGCTGCTTTGTACAAATCTATAGAGCCCTTGACCCAAAACCGGAGGTTAAGGTCCCCCCCCCAGCTTCCTGCGTGCCTTAGCCTATAGATCCATAGGAGATCTAAGGTCACTCTGTGACTCCTCCTCTTCATACTGGGAGGAGTGCTTAGTAGTAATGCGGAATGCCTGAGATCGCTGCTTTTTTGCTTGTTGTGCTTGTTGGCTAGGATTGGCAGCCCGTTTCTATCGACCACCGGGCGGTGTTCGTGTTGGATTAGACCTCTTTGGTGACATGCATGTTGATGAAACATTGTAGGAGTGAGTGAAAGTGCTCAGGAAAAGACATCAGATATAAAAGAAAAAAGAACAAAACATAATAATTTTTTTTTACTATGTGATGGGTTATACGTTCGCATATCAAGTATGCGAACCGTAGAACCATCACATATGTGCAGAAGCAAATAGGTATTAACAGTTATGCTATCGTAAAACCACCACATAAGTGGTTATGTGATCGCAACGAGACCACAAAATATACACTAGAAAACCTGAAGGTCTGCCTCAGTATGCGCCACCTATGCGGACTGCATAACAGGTATGCGATCGCAGAGGCAACCGTATAACCTGTTCTAACCTAGGGAAAACTAAGGGATAGAATGCAGTGATTATGCGGCCCGCAAAACTCATCGTCCTCATGAAAATTAAACCCTTCCCCAAATCACTTGGGTTCCTTTTTCCATTCATTCAAAAACCTAAATCCACTACGATTTATTTCACAAGATAGAGAGGGAGAGGGGTACTCAGACTTCCCCCTCTTGGGTTCGTGGCCAAAAACACACAATCACTCCCTCAATTTACTCCTCACCAACTAAAATCAAAAGCACATAATCCACTATTACGCCAGTCAATCAATTTAAATTAATTTGACCTTTTTCAAGCACACACTTTCAGATATTCATGGCATTTGAAGTTGGTTGTATTCACAAGGGCAAAATCCAGTAAGAAAAATAAGAGTGAATAAAGGAGGAGAGAAGTCGGATATCATACCTGAAGTTTGAGGATTTTATAATGGAAATGAGAAAAGTGGTGACTGTGTTTGGATTCTTTCCCTGGTTCGTCGTAGCAGTCTCCTTCTCCCCTTTTTTTTCTTTGTTTTACTTGTTTTTATTTCGTTCAAATGTGGATGTGTGCGGAGAGTTGGGTACGTTTATACTTGGCAATTATGCGGTATGGAAGTTCATCGCATAACACAATATGCGATCACATAGGTGTTATGCGGTGGGCTGATGACTAGGTCGCGTAGGTGCAATTTGCGATGCAAGATGCGATCGCACAATTGACAAGTGGGCCACATAAATGTGCAACGACCGCAAAGTTGACAATGAATTTAGCCAAACACTCTGCTCGGGTCTATGATGACTATGCGGTTCGCATAGTCATTATGCGACCGCATAGCTATCGCTTAATTTGGACCTTTTATTCCTTCAGTTTCTTCAACACTAAGACCCTGTTCATGATATTTTACCTGCACTCTAGCACACACATCAACTTGCTCAATCTAATATACATAATAATAAAAAACTACAAAAGAGTGTTACCATACTTCGGTTGCCTCCCAAGAAACACTTGATTTAACATCGCGGCACGACGCAGTTTACTCCTTTTGGATTAATCCTTGGTGGAAACTGTTGTTGGATCATCTCATAGAGCAATTATTTCTATCACATGCCCTCCTCCAGCAGTTCCGAGGTAATGTTTTACTCGTTGTCCATTTACCTTGAAGGTATGAGGCCCATCTTCTGACTCAAGTTCAATAGCGCCATAGGGAGACACACACACAACTTTGAATGGTCCAGACCATTTGGACTTGAGCTTGCCCGGAAATAACTTGAGTTTTAGAGTTGAAAAATAAGACCAAGTCACCCGAATTAAACTCCCGTTTTAAGATCTTCTTGTCGTGGACAAAGTTCATTCATTCTTTGTACATGGCTGCACTCTCATAGGCATGAAGATGGAATTCTTCCATCTCATTGAGTTGTGTCATCCTTAGGTTAGCAGCCTCAGTCCAATCAAGATTCAGCTTTTTTAAAGCCCACATATCTTTGTGTTCAAGTTCTACTAGCAAGTGACAAGATTTGCCAAAAACCAACTTGTATGTTGAAGTGCTAATGGGGGTCTTGAATGTTGTGTGATAGGCCCACAATGCATAATCTAGCTTCCTTGACCAGTCAGTCCTGTTTG